GGCTTCTCCAAATGGGTGAAGCTGTACTTATTGTATGGTGAGAGGGGGGGTGGGGGCTAAAATAGGGTGGGACACCCTCTCATCCTTTCACCAAGTGAATGAAAGGAAGCGAGGTGTCCTTTCGCGAGAATGTGGAGGAGTGCGTGTGCTTGAGTGCATGCGCACGTTCGTGCCTGTGATAAGAATAATGGGACATAGTGTGCGCACTCAGCGTTGAGGATGCTGTCAAGCAGAGACACAAAATCCGGAGACTTTCAAGTTTGCCTTCGAGGACATGGTGTAGAGAGGGACTAAAGCGTGCTGTTGTTGTTGGTTAGTGTTGTGTTGTTGTTTAGTGTTGTGTTGTTGTTGTGTTAACGGGAGCTTCCACGCCCACTGTAACGCTCACCTTTCAGTGTCCATGGTATGCAGGTTACGGACACTGGCCTGTAGTTCAGTGCCTCCTGTCTATCCCCCTTCTCGTATATCGGGACTACGTTTTCCGTCTTCCAAACTTTTGGCAGTTCCCCTATTACCAGTGATTTGTTATACACCATGGAGAGTGGCAAGCACAGTGCTTCAGCTCCTTCCTTTAGTATCCATGCTGATATTCTATCCGGGCCTATAGCCTTTGTCGCATCCAACTCTAGCAAAGCTGCTGCTGCTGCTGCTGTGTGTGTGTGTGTGTGTGTGTGTGTGTGTGTGTGTGTGTGTGTGTGTGTGTGTGTGTGTGTGTGTGTGTGTGAGAGGTCTTGTGGTCCTCGGAGTCTTGACCCCAGTGAAGACTCCATCACCCCGGGTCTCCCCCGGGGACCAGACTCTCCTGTAGCGGCGCGGCTGACGCAGGACGTCCTGCTGGAGGAGGAGGAGGACGTCCTGCTGGAGGAGGAGGAGGAGGACGTCCTGCTGGAGGAGGAGGAGGACGTCCTGCCTCCTGTAGGGAGAGAGAGACTACACTATTTATGTTGCTCCACGTGTTGTCGCTGACTGTGATGATTCCTCACATAAACCCCGCCCCTCATAACCCCCCTCTTTCTCTCATTACCAACAACTCATAAATCCTCCACCTCTTCGTATAAACCTCCACCTCCTCATAAACCACATCTCAACCCCCTCCGTCCCCTCACACACCAGCTGACGGCCGCATCAGCTCCCTGGAGCCAGCTGGCGGAGTCCAGCTTTCGTCCTGTGTAATAAGGCAAGAGACTAGTAAGAAACTTATAAGCCTTAGTTAGCCCGGATGCGCTTCTCAAGATGGCTAAGAACGTCTTAGTAAGCCGGAATGCGCTCCTCAAGATGGCTAAGAACGTCTTAGTAAGCCGGAATGCGCTCCTCAAGATGGCTAAGAACGTCTTAGTAAGCCGGAATGCGCTCCTCAAGATGGCTAAGAACGTCTTAGTAAGCCGGAATGCGCTCCTCAAGATGGCTAAGAACGTCTTAGTAAGCCGGAATGCGCTCCTCAAGATGGCTACACATACTTTAGAAACCCCTAATAGGTCTCCACGAGTCCTTCCCTACACATCTCAAGAAGTAACACGTACCTATTACACACTCCTGCGCCACAAGTATGTTACAGCAGTAACAGCCATCACCCCTAGTCGTGAGGGCGCCTGACAGCTGGGTGGATAGCGCTTCGGATTCGTAGTCCTGAGGTTCCGGGTTCGATCCCCGGTGGAGGCGGAAACAAATAGTCAAAATGTTTCTTTCACCCTGATGCCCCTGTTACCTAGCAGTAAACAGCTGTTACGGGCTGCTTCCTGCATGGGGCGGGCCCCGGGGACGCTAAGCCCCGAAATCATCTCAAGATAACCTCAAGATAACCTCAAGATAACCTCCCCCCTCCCATTCACTCTTCCACCCCCACCATTATCAGGCTCCCTCCATTGCTACAAGGGGGGGGGGCCTCAACCCCTCCAACACCCCCCATCTCCCCCCTCCAACCCATCAAACACACGACGAAACTGCCACGTTACTATAACATTCGAACAAGTTGTATGACAACTATCTAACAAGATTCCATTCACCTTGGACTGTATGGGTCTCGAACCATGGACCCCGCGGGTGTGAGTCCGTAGCTCTACCGACTGGGCTATGAGTAGTCATAATAGGGAAAAGTTTCCAGAAGCAGCTCATCTTGCTGCACAAACTGGAATTTTCAACTTTCCTCTGACTACTACCACTGAAGCCCAGAGATATTAGTGACCCCAAGTCCTTTCCAAACAGAAACTTTTATTTTTAAGACTGATCATAGGCCAGTCTTTAAGACTGACCATAGCTAGGCCAGTCTTTAAGACTGATCATAGGCCAGTCGGCATTCACCTGGAATGCTGATACGGTCCTGGGGTCAGATTCACGAAGCAGTTACGCAAGTATTTACGAACCTGTACATCTTTCCTCAATCTTTGACGGCTTTGGTTACATTTATTTAACAATTTACAAGCATGAGAACTTCCAAATCAACTGTTGATATTGTTATAAACAGCCTCCTGGTGCTTCGGAGCTCATTAACTGTTTAATAATTGTAAACAGATCCAGCAAAGATTGAGGAAAGATGTACAAGTTCGTAAGTGACTGCGTAACTGTTTCGTGAATCTGGCCCCTGTACATCTTCTCAATCTTTGGCGGCTTTGTTTACAATTATTAAACAGTAAATGAGCTCCGAAACACCAGGAGGCTGTTTATAACAATAACAACAGTTGATTTAGAAGTTCTCATGCTTGTAAATTGTTAAATAAATTTGACCAAAGCCGTCAAAGATTGAGGGAAAGATGTACACGTTCGTAAGTTCTTGCGTAACTGCTTCGTGAATCTGACCCCTGGTGACTGGTGTGTTTATTTTCCACGGGAGTTTGAATAGCAATTTATTTAACAAGACGGAACAACTAACTTTTCGTAACAAGTCGTAACACGGTAACAATAGAGACCGTTACGTTGTATGTGTTTGCAGGGAAGGATCTTCCCCCTCCACCCCCCCCCACTCCTCTAACCCCCCCCCCCATACCCCCTCCCCCCACCCCAGGACCCGAGCCGCTCCACCCCCCGTGGCGGCTAGGAATGGGGACCCGGCGCGGAGGAGTCATAAAGTTGCCAATAAATGATGTCTATAACAATGGCGGTTGGTAATGATTCCTTCAGTGATGAAATGTGATGAGATTTCCATAAATTTGCCCAAGAATTCCTATTAGCGGGTGGGCCACTTTTCGGGGTCTTGAGAGAACCGTCATATTCTGGGGGCCCAGGCCTGGCCCGCGCGGCGGCCCAGGTGTGACTTGTTAGGGCGGTGTGGCCCACTGCGGTGTGGACCACGGCGGTGTGGCCCAGGATCGTGTGGCCCAGGGCGGTGTGGCCCACGGCTGAGTGGACCAGGACGGTGTGGCCCAGGGCCGTGTGGCCCACGGCAGTGTGGCCTAGGGCCGTGTGGACCAGGGCGGTGAGGCCCAGGGTCGTGTGGCCCAGGGCGGTGTGGCCCAGGGTCGTGTGGCCCACACAGTGGCCTGCTATTGATCGAGCTGGGAGATAACAATGGGTTACATTAGAACAAATTAATAAAGGAAATTGAAGGCCCCCCTCCCCTGGATCTATACAAGGCAGGTGTATTTATACCCACCCACACACTCATTCATATACACATTACGACACTGGAAGACAGAAGAGTAAGGGGAGACATGATCACAACCTACAAAATCCTCAGGGGAATCGACCGGGTAAACAAGGATAAACTATTCAACACTAGTGGTACGCAAACAAGGGGACACAGGTAGAAACTGAGTATCCACATGAGCCACAGAGACTTTAGAAGGAACTTTTTCAGTGTCAGAGTAGTTAACGGATGGAATGCATTAGGCAGTGATGTGGTGGAGGCTGACTCCATACACAGTTTCAACTATAGATATGATAGAGCCCAGTAGGCTCAGGAATCTGTACACCAGTTGTTTGACTGTTGAGAGGCGGGACCAAAGAGCCAAAGCTCAACCCCCGAAAGCACAAATAGGCGAGTACAAATAGGTGAGTACATTCTGTATGTCTAGCCTACGCTTGAAACAATCCATGAAGTGATCTCCCGTCTGTTATGTTATCCAAGTAATCTGTCCCAAAAATGAACAGCTGTGTTTCCAAACCTGTATTTACCCAGGGCTTGTTGCTTTTCGGAATGATAACTCCAAATTTGCATCCATTGTCTCTGTTAGATTTTGATGTTGATATAAATAATTTAATAATGTATTAATGTTCGTCATACCTACCACCTACCACCACCACCTACACCTACCAGTTACCACCACCTGCTACACCTACCAGCTACCACCACCTGCTACACCTACCACCTACCACCACCTGCTACACCTACCACCTACCAACACCTGCTACACCTACCAGTTACCACCACCTGCTACACCTACCACCTACCACCACCACCTACACCTACCAGTTACCACCACCTGCTACACCTACCACCTACCACCACCTGCTACACCTACCACCTACCACCACCTGCTACACCTACCACCTACCACCACCTGCTACACCTACCACCACCTGCTACACCTACCACCTACCACCACCTGCTACACCTACCAGCTACCACCACCTGCTACACCTACCACCTACCACCACCTGCTACACCTACCAGTTACCACCACCTGCTACACCTACCAGCTACCACCACCTGCTACACCTACCACCTACCACCACCTTCGTTGGAGTTTTCTGGCTTCGAGTAAGGAATTACATTCTTAATCCACCATCCTTTTCTTGAGATGGTCCGTCTCTCTTAACGTGGCTATTCGTCGTTTTTCCGTAACCGATCCATTACCGAATTACAGCTTTTGTAATGTATTCTTTGTATTTATGGTCTCCATACTGCATTACTCCATACTCCATACTGCTGGTACAAGTCTCTACTGCGACTTTTGGTGTATTGCTAGCTAGAAATACTAGTTCCTTTCCCTTCGTCAAAGCTTGCGTAGCTCTGTTAGGGATTGACCAGTGAATCTTCAAGATTCAAGATTCATCAGTGAATCCTGATGTCCCACTTTGGTTCAGATTCAATAGAGAGTAATTTGGTGTACTTTGTATTTTGTTTTATTTGTGTCTGGGAGACCTAATAGGCCTACTTTTAAAAGCATAAGCCTCTCGCGTTCCAGTCAATTTTTTTTTTTTTTTTATAATCACTCACCTGTTCAATTATAAACCAGTTTTTGTTGGAAATTTGATGTCCTTTGTCCGACCCGTAAGTATACTTAGGGGTGGTCAAAGGAAAAACAATGGGTTTGTATGTGTGTGTGTATACTCACCTAGTTGGACTCAATCTAGTTGGGCTTGCGGGGGTTGAGCTCTGGCTCTTTGGTCCTGCCTCTCAACTGTCAATCAACTGGTGTACAGGTTCCTGAGCCTATTGGGCTCTATCATATCTACACTTGAAACTGTGTATGGAGTCACAGTGTGTGTGTGTGTGTGTGTGTGTGTGTGTGTTTTGTTTGCCCATGTATGTGTCAATGCTTCCCCCCCCCTCCCCCACATCACCCCCCCCCCCACCACGCCGCCCCTGTTAGGTCCCCCCTCATGATACTTTAATGATCTTGATGACCAGCCTGATACCTCGAGATTGATGATTGATGTCCGAAAAGATATTATGAGAGAGGAGGAAGGGGGGGGGGGGAGGGAGAGGGGGGGGGAGATGAGGAAGAGGCTGAGAGGGGTACAAGGAGGGGATACAGGTAGGGAGAGAAGGGAGAGAGAGAGAGAGAGAGAGAGAGAGAGAGAGAGAGAGAGAGAGAGAGAGGAGAGAGGAAGGAGAAACATGTGAAAAAAGGGTGTGGGATGGGTAAATGAGACTGAGAGGTAAGGGGACATGGGTAACAGTAACCCCCCCCCCACACCCCCCCAAGGCCTAGCTAACCCTACTTATAATTCCCCCATTATAAGTAATTCCCCCATTATAAGTAAGGTGTTTCCGAAGCTCGTCGCCGCCGCTGCCTGTTTCTAATTAATTTCTAAGGATTTACAGTTTGATATATCATGCGTGGTTCCCCTCCAAGTATACAATTAGATATATGCGATATCTCCTGAGAGATATAAGTAGCCATTAGCACTCCGATTCATAAATTACCCCCACGGAGTTGGCTAATGGTGGGATCCAATTGGAGCGGGCGGGGCAAGAGAGTGCCAAGCCCCGCAGTGGTCAGAAGGTCGTCAATCCCGGCTTGAGGTAAGGTTGAAAAGGGGCCTTATGCATCCCGTGGCAGTTGGGGCGCTCTCGCTCGGGGGATCGATAATTGCAGCACAGCGGTAGTTCCCCATCTTCGTTGGTGGAGGTTGCAGCTTCCCTCATACTCCTGCCAGACCTCCTCATACTCCTGCCAGACCTCCTCATACCCCCGCCAGACCTCCTCATACCCCCGCCAGACCTCCTCATACCCCCGCCAGACCTCCTCATACTCCTGCCAGACCTCCTCATACTCCTGCCAGACCTCCTCATACTCCCGCCAGACCTCCTCATACTCCTGCCAGACCTCCTCATACTCCTGCCAGACCTCCTCATACTCCTGCCAGACCTCCTCATACTCCTGCCAGACCTCCTCATACCCCGCCAGACCTCCTCATACTCCTGCCAGACCTCCTCATACTCCTGCCAGACCTCCTCATACTCCGCCAGACCTCCTCATACTCCGCCAGACCTTCTCATACTCCGCCAGACCTCCTCATACTCCGCCAGACCTCCTCATACTCCTGCCAGACCTCCTCATACTCCTGCCAGACCTCCTCATACTCCTGCCAGACCTCCTCATACTCCTGCCAGACCTCCTCATACTCCTGCCAGACCTCCTCATACTCCTGCCAGACCTCCTCATACTCCGCCAGACCTCCTCATACCCCGCCAGACCTCCTCATACCCCGCCAGACCTCCTCATACCCCGCCAGACCTCCTCATACTCCCGCCAGACCTCCTCATACTCCGCCAGACCTCCTCATACCCCGCCAGACCTCCTCATACTCCGCCAAACCTCCTCATACTCCGCCAGACCTCCTCATACTCCCGCCAGACCTCCTCATACTCCGCCAGACCTCCTCATACCCCGCCAGACCTCCTCATTCTCCGCCAAACCTCCTCATACTCCGCCAGACCTCCTCATACCCTGCCAGACCTCCTCATACTCCCGCCAGACCTCCTCATACTCCCGCCAGACCTCCTCATACTCCGCCAGACCTCCTCATACCCCGCCAGACCTCCTCATACTCCGCCAGACCTCCTCATTCTCCGGCAGACTCACCCTTCACATTTCAAGAACCTACTCATACCGATATGAACAATGAACGGTCCCATGTTCACCTCGAGTGACAGAGGACCCGTCTAGACTTTTCAGACGGGTCGTCTGTCTGAGGACCCGTCTGGACCTCAACCCGAGTGTGAGGACCCGTCTGGACCTCATCCCGAGTGTGAGGACCCGTCTGGACCTCATCCCGAGTGTGAGGACCCGTCTGGACCTCATCCCGAGTGTGAGGACCCGTCTGGACCTCATCCCGAGAGTGTGAGGACCCGTCTGGACCAGACATAACTGGCTAGCCTCTCACAGTGTTCAAGAAAGAACTCGACAACCCCTTCCCAAAAGGATACCTGATCAACTAGGCTGTGATTCATAACGTCAATTAGCGAGCGTCCAGCAGCCTGGTTGACTAGTAGGCTAACCACGAGGCCTACCGGGCAGAGACCGGGCCTCCGGGTTCGTTGATCCTCGGAGCTACCGAGAATCTCCCGCGTCACCGCATCACCCAGGGCGCACTCCCACGCTGGTCTCCTACAGTTGCCGCAGCCGCACCTTCCTTATCTTGCGGATCCTGCGGTATCTGCGCCTCCCGTCAGGGGTATTTTGTCGGCCGCGGCAGGGGGCCCACGATGGTCAGGGGAGGCGCCCGCGGGCCCCCCTGCCTGGGCCCACCAGGAGCCTATTCTCTAGCTCCACAGGGGGGCCTTGTTCACACTCCAGGGGCCCGTAGCCAGACCCACGCCGGGGCGCCCCTTTCCCCCCTTTGCCCGCAGTCAGACTCAACGTCTCCTGTCAACTTGGGGGCCCTCTTGGTGGGCCCGTCAAGTTGACACGAGACTACTTGGTCAACTATATGCGTTGACTTCCACAAGCCAGTTATTATACCTAACATCAATTCGACCAGTTCCACGCGACCAGCTAAATATATATATATCCTCGCGACCCAGTCATTCGTCAATGTTGCTATTCCACCGTTAGACAGTGAACTGTGCTTCCTCAGGATTGTATATTCATTCAGTTAGCATCTTGGGGCAGACTCTTGGTAGGAGCGCGCATCTTCTATCACTCCTTTGGTGATACTACCCAGTTACTCAGTTTGAAGCCTCTATTCAGCCTCTCAGCCGGCCAGTCGATTCAAACAGATAGTGAGCCAGTCGTCTAAACAGTGAGTCAGTCGCAATTAGGCATCCAGTCATTCAGCCAACCACTCATTCCATTCAGCCAACCATACAACCAGTCACAGCCATCCATGCAACCACTCGACTGAAACGAATTCTTTAAATATTGGCTGTCGAGCGTGATCTGCGGCCAGGATAGAGAGAGAAATAGGCGCGGCCAGGATAGAGAGTGTATATACTGAGCACGTAGAGGCCTAGGGAAGGAGGCCTTGGACCGTATCACTTATATATATATATATATATATATATATATATATATATATATATATATATATATATATAAGGGGGGAGGGATCAGACCCATTGCCGTTGGTAATACCCTTCGCCGCCTAGTTGCAAGGGCTGCTGTCAGAAGTATCCGAATGGAAGCAGCCACCATGCTGCAACCCAACCAGCTGGGGTTTGGAGTCCCCCAAGGCTGTGAAGCAGCGGCTCACGCTGCACGAGCCTACATTAGCTCTCTTACTGAAGACCAGGCAGTAGTAAAATTAGATTTTAAAAACGCTTTCAACTCGGTCAAAAGGGAAGCAATCCTCACTGCAGTCCAGGAACATTGCCCAAGCATTCTCCCGTTTGTGTCAGCAGGCTACAGCAAAGACTCAACCCTCCTGTTTGGCACACATGAAGTCACCTCAGCAGAGGGAATTCAACAGGGTGACCCACTTGCACCGTTCCTCTTTTGCATAGCGGTTCGAGAAATTACAACCAGACTGTCCAGCGAGCTCAACATCTGGTTCCTGGATGATGGCACTCTGGCAGGCACACAAGATTCCCTGCTAGAAGACCTACAGCTGGTGAAGACACGGGGGGAGTCCATGGGTCTCGTTCTTAACCCCTCCAAGTGCGAAATTATTGCATCCAGTGAAGTAATCATTAGAGCAGTGAAATCAGTTTTACCAGAAGCCTCAGTCGTTAAACCTACCGACAGCACACTACTCGGAGCACCTCTGGGCCACAATGCCATTGCTGCAGTCCTTGACGAAAAGTTTAGAGACCTAAAGAGGATGGAAGAGAGAATTGGGGACTTGGACTCCCACGATGCCCTCTACCTTCTCACAAAGTGCCTTACCTTGCCCAGGCTAACATACTTCTTAAGGTGTGCACCAACTTTTGGCAACCAACTTCTAAATCAATATGATGAGCTCCTCAGGTCAATATTCAGGAAGGCGCTCAACCTAGATTTAGATGACAGTCAGTGGGACCAAGCAACACTACCAGTGAGATTTGGAGGGATAGGCATACGAAAGGCAACTGAGGTAGCACTTCCAGCATTCTTATCCTCATGTACAGCAGCCAACGAATTGGTAGGGCAGATCCTACCAGAGCGTATGAGAGAGACAGCGGGAACTCATGATCAAACGTTCATCGAAGCAGCCAGACAATGGGACACCATTGCACACCCTCAACCCCGACCACAAGTCCCAAAAGACCACAAGCAGGCCCACTGGGATAGCCCCATAATGGAAAAGACTGTCACAGCAATGATTGACAACGCTGATGCTGAAAACAAAGCTCGCCTCCTAGCGGTAACAGCACCACACGCCGGGGATTTTTTATTTGCTGTGCCCAATGCAGCCCTGGGAACTCGCCTCAGTCATGACGCTCTCCGCATTGGAGTTGCCCTTCGCCTTGCCGCCCCCATCCTCACCGAACATAGGTGCATCTGCGGAACTGCGATGGCAGACCAATATGGTCGTCATGGTCTGGTATGTCGTAAATCACAGGGTAAAATTGCAAGACATGAAGAAGTCAACGACATCATCAAGAGGAGCCTCGCCACAGCCCGCTGCCCGGCACAAAGAGAACCACACTTATCCAGACCTAACGACCCTCAGAAGCGCCCTGATGGGGTCACCTTGCTACCTTGGAAGGATGGTAAGCAAGTGGTATGGGACTACACGTGCGCTGCCACACTGGCCAGTACCTACCTCCACTACAGCACACGTGAAAGCGGTGGTGCTGCTTCTTTCAGGGAATCGCAGAAAATTATTAAATACAGAGGTCTAGCACACTGCTACAGCTTTGTTCCGATCGGCTCGGAGACCCTCGGTTCGTGGGGAAAATGTGCATTGAAGTTCCTGAAGGAATTGGGGGACAAATTGATCAGCGCTACAAAAGACCAGAGAGCAAAAAGTTTCTTGTTCCAGCGCCTCAGTGTTGCGATTCAGAGGGGAAATGCCTGTTGCGTCTTGGGCACTAGTCCAACTTCAGAGGAATTCGAAGAAGTGTTTGACTTGCAACAATGATCGAACCCGTCTGTGACATTCATCAATGTTCCCATTGTTGTGTTTTTCAAGAGATCCATAACCTTTAAGCACCTTTTTGCATTATTATTTTTGTATCAACCCATGTATATCTTGTAACCATCAAATGCATAATAAAGCACAAAAAATAAAAAAGGAAGGGGGTGGTAGGAGAAAAGCACACAGAAACTGTATTGGAGGGGATCTAAACATTCCCTCTAATGCGTTATGTGTGGTTTCCTCCGAGGCTATGGGTCCCCCTTCTTCCAGCTAGAGGTGGTACTCCCTTCCATATTTATATATATATATATATATATATATATATATATATATATATATATATATATATATATATATATATATATATATATATATATATATATATATATACACACTACGTGTACGTGTCTAGTGTTGGCACACTAGACACGACGAAGTCAATGACATCATTAAAAGAAGCCTTGCCTCTGCTCAGTGTCCAGCGGAGAGAGAGCCCCGCAACCTACTGAACCGTGACTCTGTTAGCTTTGCCGGCCGACCAGACGGAATCACACTGCGACCGTGGAAGGGTGGCAGACAGTTGGCATGGGACTATACTTGCGTATCCACCCTGGCAACCACATACATCAACCTCTCTGCCGGCACAGCAGGAGCCGCGGCGACACGCAGAGAAAGAGACAAGTCAGCCAAGTACAGGCAATTAGATCGTCGGTACAACTTCCTTCCAATAGGGTCTGAGACCCTAGGCCCATGGGGAGAGAGTGTGAGAAGGTTTCTTAAGGATCTTGGTTCCAAGCTCATTGACACCACAAGAGACCCTAGAGCAGCAAGTTTTCTCTTTCAGCGCCTCAGTGTCGCGATCCAGAGGGGGAATGCTCGCTGCATCCTCGGTTCCTGCCCGGCGTCGGAGGAGTTCGAGGAAATCTACAGCCTCTAGGAAGCGAACTTTTTTTTTGTGTCCTCTTAATGTTAATTTTTTGCATAAAATCAGATATGTAACTGTATAACCTTGCATAATAAAGTGTACACCATAAAAAAGGGGGTGGTAGGAGAAGCGAACACTCTTACGTATTCAGAGTTAAATGGCAAGTTTTTCCCTGAATGCTCTGTGTTCCCTTCTCTGAGGCTGTGGGTCCCTATAATTGCACCAGTGGTGGTACCCCCCTATATATATATATATATATATATATATATATATATATATATATATATATATATATATATATATATATATATATATATATATATATATATATATATATATATATATATATATTTATTTATTTATTTTGTTTTTAACCAAAGTATATTAGAGATTTTAATGATAAATTTAATGCCGAATCTCAAAGCCTTCTAAGACGGCGTAAAGAATAATTGCATTGGCTTCGAGCGCGGAAAATGTTGCATCTTTTGCATCAAGAAATTCTTTTTTGCTCTTCGGCAGTATCTTTTTTTTTTTTAGAACTGTGTTCATTAGTGAGACAATAATCATGTAGTTTGTTGTCATGTTTCCCTGCACAGGTGTCTTCGTGTACAGGTGTGTGTGTGTGGCTTTCTGATACCAGCCCACACCTGCATGTCGAGTCCCGTTCTCCCCCCCCCCCTGTTGAATAATACAACG